CTAAAATAATGGATCGGAGGAAGTACAAAATAAAAATAACGTAGAATAAAATGTATTATTAACGTCTATATTAACATTATTGATATTAATTATGCAAATATCATTTCTTATACATTATCTAATTTAGTATATTAAAAATAATATGCATTTCAAAAAACTTAAAATAAAGATTTTGAGAGATATTTTATCTCTAACTATAAAACTACATGCACTAAAACTTATTCCACTTAAGGATGTTAAATTATTTGAGAAAAATGATTATTTGCGAAAGACATAAATATTTCATTTATTTTTTACATATATGTGGTTTAAAATTAGCAACCGAAAGCACGTAACCGTTCCACTGATACTTCTCAGTCCTCGCTCTTTATTTTCCACTTTAAGTATACTTTTTCCGGCTTTTTTATAATTGAAAGTTGTTATATTAAAATGAAATGAATACGCCACGTAAGGAATAATTCGAGTATGTCACTTTTGTTGTGTGAAATACCGAACAACGTTACTGAGATGCTTTTTAGTCGGATAAAAATTCAGTTGAGTATAATTAGATTTTTAATAATTTTATGCTATGTGTAGTATATAATAATTTATTATTGAGATTTATTTAAATTATATACTCATTTTAATAATAAAAATAATAAAATTGTTTATTATTTTTATTTTTTAAAACTATCGAATAAAATAATTAAGTGTACTCTAGGTAATATTTCAAGAAAAAAATAAGACTGGCAGAAATATGCGGACTTCTCAACTGTTTTACTTGCTAAACCTCGTACTTATATTGAATTTTTTAAATTATTCTAATTTAAAGAATTTGACATTTTTGAAGAATCAGAGTAAATATATTTTTATAATTATTTGAAAACCTCAAAATAAGTTTTTTTTTAATGTATTGCATGTACTTTAAATGAATTACTATTTTTAACTCAATGATGTTTTTAAGTTTGATCTATTTTTATATAGATTATTTCAATATTTGGAGAAAGCATGTGTGAAATTACTCTAGAAGGAGTTTAGCGGGTAAAGAGTCAGGAAGTTCGTATATTCCCATTCATCTTAATTTTTTTCTTGAAACTATTAATTTGGTACACTTAGTTGTTTTATTTGATAGTTCAAAAAAATAAAAATGTTGACAACTTTGTAATTTTTATTAGCTATTATTATAATTAATATATAATTTAAATAAAATTTAATCATTATATAGTACATATGACATAAATTTATAAGATTATTGAATATTTTTTGATCTAATTATATTTGATCAAATCTTTATCCTTTTCAGCTGGCACAGGCATAGAGAGTTAAAAACACTTTCTTTTACCCAGCTAGGTAAAACAATTAAATCACCTTAGTAATTTAATATTTTTGGCTCATTAAAGCAGAAGCTTGCAGAGTTTTAATTGAAGATGAGTTTCATTTCTATGCATGGCAATCATTCAAAAGTTTAACTCAATTACCATATATTCAAAGAAAGTAAGAGTTTATTACTCAGCCACCTAATTATTGAGAATTACTTTATCTAATTCATATTAGTGAATTATTGAGATATGATATATTTAAAAAAATAATATTAAAGATAAAAATTAAAGGTTACTTTCTATTATTACTTTTTTTTTTATTTTTAAATTATTCTTTTTATAAAACATAAAGTAGTAAAACATTTTATTTTTAAAAAATCTCAAATTAGAAAAAATTCATTTATTTTCAACTATAAAAATAAATCTCATCAATTTTCACAAATGAATATTTATTAAAGTCATTTTCTGTCGTGTAAAAAGGAGGTCACTCAATTTTATGTATATGAATTTAAGTTACTACTATATGATGTGATATTTTATATAACATGTATTTATATTTTGTTAATTCACATAATATATTTTGATCCTATTCTAATTCATGATCCTAACCCTTTTTGGATATTAGGCAATATTAAAATGAATTGATAAACTACATGAATAAATAAAATAATATCATGTAATCAGTGAATTAAAATTTTAATTATTTAACATATTACATTTGACATTTATGATAATGAAAAGCAAAAAAGGATAAATAATTTTAATAATTTGGTGAATACTTATCCACCCATATGATCATTCATTATTTCATCTCAATAACCTTATACTATCAATAATAGTAAGTCGATTGAATATTTTATTTGTTTAAGAATTATCTCATTAAATATAAAATATTGACATGATAAAAAATGTGTGGTTCATTTTCTTTGAGCGTGTTAAGTTATTAAAAATAATATATTTCCTTTTTTTTCATTAATTTTTACACCTAGTTTAATTTTTAAAAGAATAGTTAAAAAAAAAAAACATTCATCTCCTTCCTCAATATTGTTGCCACTATTCTTCCACCATTTTTCATAATCTTTTTACATACGTACACTACACTACACACCATATGATCATTCATTATTTCATCTCAATAACCTTACTAGCAATAATAGGAAGTGCAGCCATTCAAAGTTATCCTTAAAATTCACAATTCACTTAGACACCTTAATTTATTCGTATGTCGATTGAATATTTTATTTATTTAAAGATTATCTCATTAAATATAAAATATTGACATGACAAAAAATGTGTGGTTCACTTTCTTTGAGCGTGTTAAGTTATTAAAAATAATATATTTTCTTTTTTTTCATTAACTTTTACACCTAATTTAATTTTTTTAAAAATAATTAAAAAAAAAAGAAGAAGAAACATTCATCTCCTTCCTCAATATTGTTGCCACTATTCTTCCACCATTTTTCATAATCTTTTTACATACGCACACCACACTACACACCACCACGTTCACCTCTCTCTTTCTCTCACCCTGTATCGTTCTTCTTTTGCTTTTCCTCCTTTTTTTTTTATGTTGATTCAAGTTTCAAATATCTTGACGAAGTCCTATTAATTATGATGAAAAAAGATATGAATAGATTTTTTTGGGGCAAGAGCTTGTTATTATTATTTTTCAATTTTAACAAATCTAATTAATGATTAAGAAAATAGTGTGATTGAAAGAAATATCATTTCCAACATTGAATTGGATTCAAGGAGAGGAGTAGGTGGGTTGATCGAAAAAAACACATATATAATTTCAAATAAAAAGGAAAAACGTCAAAGTGAAAATGACTATTTCAAACATGATTCGATTATGTGTCTTTTGGTAAAAAAATGTGGAACTTAACATTGGGGTTGGGTGGGGGTGGTTCTGAGAAGAAGTAAAGTGAATGTTGCTCTTTTTTAATTTTTTTTTACTGAAAACATAGTTTTTATTTATTTTATTTTTAATTTATTTTAACTGTGTTTTTTTGGGTCCAATATCAGATGTCTCTTTTTTATTAGCTACCATGTCACGTCAGTCGTGAGTGTATGACACACCATCTTTACTTTTAGTTGATTGTCAAAATATGTCAATAGATATTTTTTAACTAAAAAAAGTGTTCATTTGAAACAAGTCTAAATGAAATATGTGAATAACTTTAAGTGGCTATAGATAATTTAAGCCATCAATAATAATTTAAAATTTCTCGTATTCTTCATGTAAAATGAAGGTCACTCAATTTTATGTATATTGAAATATATATCTTACTTTTTTTTATTTTCAATATTTTTTTATTTTTAAAAATCACTTTTTTTTTTTAATGTATCTGAGTTATATATTAATGTATTTAAACTAGTATTTAATGTATCCGAGATACATATTATATATTTGCGTTAATTTTTATATATTCGAGATAGTTTTTAATGTATTTGAGTTACATATTATGTATTCAATTTATGTTATAATGTATATGAGATACTCTTTAATGTATCTTAACTACATGCTAATGTATCTGTGTTATTTTTTAAATAATTAATTTAATTACAAACTAAAAAGAAATAAATTATAATTTTAATTTATATTTTTTTATATATCACTTTTTACTATATTGAAAGATAAACAATCAAATATGACATAATATTTTATATAGTCAACCTGGATTTATATATTGTCAATTCACATGATATATTTTGTCCAATCCTCATTCATAACCAGTATTAAACCTTTTAGATGTTTGATTATTAGGCAATGTTAAAAAAAAATAATTTGATAAATAATGCAAAGATGAATATAATTTGTTTTAAATGATTGAAATTTTTTTCTGATCAATACATTATAAATAAAGGATAAAGAATCCTAATAATTTGGTGAATAACATTCATGTCAAACTTAAATATAATCATCCACTCATATGATCATTCATTAGTTCTCATTAAATCAAACAAGTAGTATATGTCTATAACCTTACTAGTTTAAAGCTACAATAATAATAACTTAAAATTGCTCTTTTTGTTCTTACATATTACTTATTTTTAGTTCTCTTATTTTTAGAAGAGACAATATTTTTTTTTAACTTCAGTAATAATAATAGTATCTTTTTTATAAAAGTTAAAATTAATTCTAGTTAATAGGATTTTAGCCATTTATTTGCAATATTCACTTGAATATTATTGTAAAAACATTATTAACAAATATGAAATATGAGTTGTTTAATTTCAATATTTTATATAAATTCTGTACTTATTTCATCATCTTCAATTATAAGTAAAATCAAATCATAAGATTATTAATATTAAAATTTCTTGAGGCCCTCAAAATTTTGGAACTAAAGCAAACGTTTTACAAGCATCATTTGAGCCACTCCTAACAAATAAATAGAGTTACATCTAGTGACCTAACTGTATACATAATATCAAATACATATAACTTAAAATCTTCATCCTAATTACATATGCCTCATAAGAATTTCATCATTATATATTTATGCCTCAGAAGTTTGCCAAATTCTTGCTGGGCTGAGCAGTACTGTGCTGTTAATAAGCAAAAGCAAATATTGTTTGTGTCCACGTCAAGCAAAAGATTCCCAAACAAAAACAGAGCTTTCGCCTAGCTCAAACAAACAAGACAAAATTAAACATTAAATGGGACCAGCATAAATATCATATGGACTCAGGGCCTACTTTACCACTCCAACAATAAAACATACTGGAATTCATATAGCCGATCTCAAAGTAATTTACAACTATTCGAACATTGTTGATTTATTACGCGATACTTATCCATCATCATCGCTTGATATTTGCGCAGTTGTACTCGTAGCTATGAATTGCACTCAGCAAAGAAAGAAATTAACTTTGTACATATCCAAAATAAAGTAACTATTTATCAACGGAAATATCAAAGCGAATATGCCTAAGCAACACCGGAATAACAACATCGGGTGAACTGAGCTGCGGCAGATGTCCATCGGTGGACATCACCTCCACAATGGATTCGCCTCCGAGGTTCTGGTGAAGGTATTCGGAGACTACGACAGGCACAGCCAAATCCTTCATGCTCTGAATTATATGACAAGGAACAGTTACATGAGGCAACATATGTCTCAAATCACTTTGGAATATAATTTGTAACACACTTAATGCCATGTCTGGTCTCATGTTGAACAATGTCCTGCTGAACTCCTGTACCGCAACCGAGTCCATGTCCCCTCCTATAGCTAAAGGTGCAAAACCTGAACACCATGCCTTGTAATTTGATCTCATTGCTTCAAATAATTGATCTAGATCTTCTTGTTCGAATCCTCCGTAATAGTCCACGTCATTCAAATACCTAATTAATTAGTAAGATAAGTTGCAATAACGTAAAAAGATTCTTCTAAGTAAGTTGAAAAATGAGAAAACATTTCATAGAATCATCTTGTAAGCCAATTACAAGTAATTGTAAGTAATAAAGAAACACAAGGGACAACTGTCGCACCAGTGTAGACAAGTGACAACCAATCCCACCATGCTCAATAAGAAATTACAAGAATATTGGCTAATGATCCGCATACTTACCAACTAAATGATTTGTTTAAATTATTATAGTAAGCCAAAAATTAAACTAGAATTTATTTATAGTAGCCCAAAATTATATCAGAAATTATTGTATTGTTATCTAGGAGAATCTTAATAGTTTAGTTGGTTCACTATTTAAACTTTCAACTTATCAGTGGATATTCAATTAATCATTTGTAACCTCTTTCCGTTGCGATAAAAAAAAAATACTCCCCACTCTTTAATTTATTTATTGTTGACTTGATTTATAGTTTAAGAAATTACACAGCACTTTGCATTTTACAATAATTTAAAAATATCTAAAATGTTATTTAATTTTATAATCTTAAATATTTCACGGAATTAAGAAGTCGCATACCAAGAAAAGAAAATTATTTTTGAAGGACTAAAAAGAGATGCTACAAGATAAATAAATTGAGCAGGACTTGTACTTTACGTTTAAACTTTACTAGTGAGTATATCTTTTTTCCTTTAACCATCGCATGGAAAAAATAATGAATATTAGTTGATAAAATAGTTGTAATAACAGTCCGCATAAAAATTTGTAACAAGGAAAAATAGTCAATTGTTAGAATAAATCTGAAGAAGGTAAAAGGTAAAAGAGGAAATTAACCTTGGAGAACCAGAAACTGTGACAAGTTTGGTGAAGAGATCGGGACGTGCAACAGAAGCGATGGCACCAATCATGGCAGAAACAGAGTGACCGACATAAATACAACAAGGAATTTGGAGTTCTTCCAAAATAGCGATCACATCATAGGCGTATCCTTCTAAGGTTGAGTACCTTTCAAAGTCAAAGTAATCTGGGTTGGTAGTTCCAGCTCCCATATTGTCAAACAAGACAACCTTATAATCCTCAACTAGATGAGGAACCAAATGTTTCCACACAGATTGATCTGTTCCGAACCCATGAGCAAGGACTATACTTCGATCCCCTGTTCCTAAAATCTTCACGTTGTGTGCTTCTTCAACAATTCCCATTCTTTAATTCAATCGAATTGTGTTTTTAATTGGTTGCCTCTTACGTTGGTGTGGACTTGTGAAACTCTTTTATGCTTTGTTTGGGTCTTGGCCCATTCGTGTCGTGTTGCTCTTTGTTTATGAGATCTATTTTATTTCTTTGCACATTGGCATCTGACGGCTATATAATATTTAATCAAATGGACAATATTTCCAATTTCTTTGCAATATTGGGCATCTGATGGCTGCTTATATTTATTAAATTGTTAAAAAATAAATAATCAAAATAGACAATAATTTATTAGTTAATCATCAACTATTTATTTGTTTTTAGTTTGAGCACATCCTTTAAATTATTTATTTTTAAAAAAGCAAGTGTATTCTTTTTCATAAATATTTTTTAAAAAAAGTAATAATTAACTTTTTAGTAATTTTTTGGTTTTTAAAATTCTCTTTCTATAAAAATAAAATTAAAAGAACAGCATTAAAGTAGGACAACTTTCACATATAGCAAACAAAAAATTCATATTTGTATGCTATAGCAAACTTTGCGTAATTGTGCTCCATAGCAAACATAAAACTGTATAATTCGCTATACATATACAATTGTATAATTCGCTGGCCTATTTCGCTGCAGTTGTATAATTTGCTTTGCATACAGTTGAATCGAATTAAAATGTATGTATATTGCATAATTATAAGTGTATAGCAAGAAGATATATGTTTTTCTCGCTTTATACAAAAACAGAAACACAATATATACATTTCTGTTGTATAAAGCTAGAGAAAATTGTATTTCACTGCAATTGTATAATTCACAATTGCATAATTCGTTGGCCTTTTTCTCTGCAATATTTGAAGTAAAATGTTTGTAAATTGTATAATTAAGTGTATAACACAAATATATAAATTTTTGCATGTGTATATACAATTTTCTCTCGCTTTATACAAAACAGAAACAGAATTATACACTTCTGTGTATAAAGCGAGAGAGGCGAGCGAGAATGGAGAGTGGCGAGCGAGATTTTTGGGAGAGAGACGCTGACAAATTTTAGTTAATGTTTGCTATGGAGCACAATTGAATCAAACCCTAGCTATTTTATTTAATTTAGGTTATTAATTTTCTATTATATACAATTTTTCCATTAAAGTATACGCATGATTATTCATAAAACTCTACCCAAATAATTTACTAACAGAACAAATAACCTAGTCAATTTAAAATAAGTCTCGTATATTTGTTTGAACACCTCTACTATCAATCATAAATTTTGAGTCATATTGAAAGATAAGTGATTCATTGTTAATATTTTTAATGGGATGAAATAAAGAAGGAAAATATCAACTTAAACTTAATTATAATAATTTCGATCAAAGGAAAAAAAAAACATATTTTGTCATAACACAATTCACAACCACCTATCTAAATTAAATTAGACGATGATATAATCTAATTTATGCTAGCATTAATTCAATTCTGCAGGAGTATCAATTAATTTTGTATCGCGTGACTTTTGTGACCACTAGACTTTCGAGGTGAGTAATAAACCTTAGGTGACAATTACATAAAAGATTTAATATACTAGTAATAAAATTTTAAATTTATCAGTAAATTTCATTTAAACATCTCAATTACGTCATTTTCTACGCTGTACTTGTTAACCAGATTTATCGCGGCTATATTTATATATATTAAAATCCCAATTAGTACCGTCCTCTCTGTGTATAACAAACTGGATAGTTTGTGTCTCCCAAATTTTAGTACTCCACTTGGAGAAAAGATTCAACATGTGATTGTAAGGACCACTTCAAATTGACAGGCGTACGTATCTCGATTCGGAAGTAGAAAAAGAGTAGGTAGTAATAATTATTTAAGTGATGATCACTTGAGATTGGATCGAAGACATGATCAATCAAGTTTTAGGTTTGTCTTTGAAAAATAATGAAGTTTCTAAGTTTTATATATAAAATTTCATAATAATTGTCTGAAATTTCACATGTCAAAGTTGAAATTTTAAGACAATAATTATATTTCAGCTACACGAACTAAAAGAAAATGACTATTTCTGAATCTTACCCCAAGTTTGAATGCCATTTACAACGTATGACATCCCAAACGTACAAACTCCAGAAAGGCTAAGTTTCTCTTTCTTTCTTCTGAAAAATTAAAGCACAGACTAAAACAAATCTAAATGTGGAATATATTATTCCAGACACTTTTTTATCCATACTCTTCTATTGCCTCCAGAATATTAATGGAGAAAAGAAAAAAATTCAACGGACCAAAATTTTTAGTGCCTTCTACGGGAATAAAGAAAGGAGTCCGGAGCCTAAATGGTATAAAATATTAATAAAAGTATTAAAATAATATATAAAATTTCATATTAATCAAAACGATAAAATCGCTGGAACAACAACGATTTACTCCACCAAAAAAAGAAAAATCGCTGCTACTGCAGCGATTTTACAAAATGTGATTTTTTTTTTGAAAAAATTCAAATCACTATCTAGGCAGCGATTTTCAATTTTGCTGCAATTTTCTAAAAAGAAAATTGAAAATAGCTGTCAAGATAGCGATTTGATTTTTTTTATTTTAAAATTACATTTTGCAAAATCGCTGCAGTTTCGGTGAAGTAAATCGCTGTTGTTCCAACAATTTTACCGTTTTAGTTAATATAAAATTTTATATACCATCTTAAAATTTTTGTTAATAATTTATACTTTTTTGACTCTGGACTCATAAAGGAAGAGTAGAAAGCTGAGTTCGACGTGTGGGCTTAGTCACCACATTTACAAGTATTTCTTGTTGCTATCAAGTGTAAATATACTTGCCTAGGCAATATGATAGAAAAAGAAAGAAAAGTCTAATTAGAAGCGAAATTCAAGATTTAAAGTGTATAAATTCATATAACAATTTTAAATTAATAGTATAATCAATAACTAAGTTTACAATTAAATATTTATAGTAATACTTAATATTTTTATAAAGTCTGAGTAAAAATTATTAAATTCGCGTGGCTGATTTGCTGACCGTAACGAACTTGACTCTGCCCCAAAAAGGGCGGGAAGACCTTTGACCTGGGCTGGGGAGGGATTGGGGTCGCTTTTCTTTAGGACTTTAGTCCGTAACAAGGCTCGAAGACCTCCGGCTGGATTTGAAATGGATCAGGAAGACTTAGTTGATTCATTTTGTAAGCAATGGTGACATGAAAAACAAAGAGGAGAATAGAAATACACATGTATATTTATTTTGATGATGAGTACTTTTGAAGAAGTTTTTTTCATTATCCTTTAACTAGAAGAAGCATCAGCAGTAATATCATGTGAAATGTGTCGAAGCAATACGGGGATAGTAGCCTCAGGTGCGCTCAAATGTGGAAGATGACCTTCTGTTGAGATGATCTCTACGATCGATTTTCCGCCTAAATTTCTGTGTAAATATTCAGAAACAGTCACTGGCATTGCAACATCCATTGAGCTCTGTATGATATGGCAAGGGACAGTAACACGGGACAGATAATGCCTTAGGTCGAACGTGAAAACAGTGCGGAAAACACTGAGTGCTATGTCTGGTCTCATGTTGAATAATGTCCTGCTGAATTCTTGTACTGCCACGGAATTCATGTCACCTCCCACCGCTAGTGGCGCAAAACCAGATACCCATGCCTTGTAGTTCGACTCCATTGCTTGACATAGTTGTTCTATGTCTTCCGATTCGAATCCTCCATAATAGTCATCCGTATTTATGAACCTAAGAAAAGAAATCATGTGACGTTATAGAAGAGAGTTGCTCGGATAGTTAACAGAGGTTACGTTCAATCCAATTTTATTGGTGTTGGGTGGATGGTAAGTATTGCAAAATTCTTCATAATATCAAAAGAAAATTCATGTGATTGGCAAAAAAAGTTGAATTTTTTTTAAAAAAAAGAAAAGAAAAGTTGTGTGATTCTTTTTAGATAAGATCAAAAGAAACGGAGGAGATTGATTTAAAATATCTGAATCGTAAATACGTTTAAGAGGGAAATGCTACGTACATCTTCCTTCTAATTTATTTGTGTTAAACGAGCATTTTAATTAACACTTTTCTTGTTTTTTAGTTAAATACAGAAATATTTAAAAGTTTCATTAGACAAATAAATTGACATATCAATTTATCTCACCTTGGGGAAGCTGATACAAGAATGAGTTTGGAAAAGAGATCGGGACGAAAAATAGAAGCAACAACACCAGTCATAGCCGATAAGGAATGGCCTAAGTACATGCAACGATTGATTTGAAGTTCCTCCAAAATGGAAATTAAATCGTACGCATAACCTTCAAGGGAAGAATATCGATCAAAATCGAAGTAATCAGGATTTGTCGGTCCAGCACCCATATTATCATAAAGTACAACACGATATTCATCAACGAGGTAAGGAACAAGCTGTTTCCAAACAGACTGATCGGTGCCGAAGCCATGACCCAGTACGATGGTCTTTTCGCCTGAACCTACAACTTTTACGTTGTGAGCTTCTTCACCGATTCCCATTTTTTGGTCTGAGTTTTTTGTTTCCCAATTTTTAGACTTTATTAAGGTGTGGTGTGGAAATTGGAGGAGACGACCAGCCGACTTTTTGGTACGAAGGAAGATGGATTGGCCGGTGGCTGTTAATTTTAGGTTCACAAATCATAACATTAGTATTGCAAGAGTGCTAATTAATGGAAGGGTTTTTATGGTTATCAAGTTATTGAAATACTTTAGTAAAGTTACTTTATCTGTTTTATGCTAAAATAAAAGTCACACATATTTTTTACTATAATAAAATATTAATAACTTCTACCGAAAAACACTAGAAAATACTCCATCCGTTTAAAAAAGAATGATTCTATTTTCTTTTTGATCTCTTTTAAAAAGAATGATCCCTTTCATTTTTTGAAAACACTTTAACTTTAATTTTTCACGTAGCGTGTTTAAGACCCACAAGATTAAAGAGTTTGATTTTGGTACATTTGACATAACTTTAATTTAGAACCACAAAATTAAAAAATCTTTTTTATTTTCTTAAACTCTGTTCCAAGTCAAACTAGATCATTCCTTTTTAACCGCAAGGAGTAACATAAATGATCATTTTAATTATTCCCTATTTAAATTAAGTGAGCAATCATAATTTCATGATATTTTAACCAAACATGCAAATTATCTCAAT